GGGGGGATGGCCATGCCTCAATCCCTTCTCCTCCATTCTCCTCTCGGGATCTTGGGCACGCACGCACACGCACCCGGCGTGAGTTTTTTTTTAAGCCACCGGGTCCCGGACACGAACCGCGGTCGACTACGTGGGAGTCCAGCGACATAGCCATTACGCTAACTGCTGGTTCCCAGCCAGGGGATCTTTATCTGCGGTGGAAAGAATCCTCTCGCTCATGGCGAAAATCCAAAACATCTCTAATTAAAGCCCATAAACTGAAAGCATCCACAGGCACCTTTTCTGGACTATGGGCATCGCGTTATAATCTTGGAGCCTTTGCCTCACCCATTTCCAGGTATCTATGCAAACTGTACCCTCCTCAGGAAACCAAGGACAGACTTCTTCAATAAATTCTAAAAATGCTGAGAGCTGCTGCTGCCCTACGCGCAAGCGTCGCGCACTTAGCATTTCTTGAAGCATATGTACAGAGAGCTGGCGACTATTGCCCTGCCCCATAATTATTCCCTAATATACTCACCGTAACACTTCCACTTTTTTTTTCTCTTTAAATTTATTTATTTTTTACATTAATTCCCTATACATCATTACAGCATACAAATGAATTTTCCATCCAAAATACACTGTGTATTGGCTCAATCAAGCACATCAACATACATGTTTTCAGCAAATAATTTTCCAATTCTTATGTCTTGTATACTTTGTTTTTTGTTTTGCCATCCTTGATTCCCTATCCCTCACCCTCTGCCATGTCCCACCCTCCTCCCACATTGTCTCTGGTATCTATGGTTGCTTTCTGCCTCCCCCCCCCATTTAATTGATTTGCTAATGAACTTAATTAGTCTAAATATATCCAATAGCTAGCACAGCTGATATATACCTATACATGAATCCAAGTGTGACTTTAGGCATAAACCTCAGTGAGTAGAATGAACATATTATAAAGTAGTACCCAGCTGGGGCTATATAGCTTACTGCAGTCATCAAATATGCATTTTTAAAAATTTTCTATACGAACAGTTTTACCGTTTTTTTTTCTCCTGCAACTTTTTTAAAAATTACTTAACATTCATTCCCTGAGCATCATTACAACATACTAAATGTGGTTTCCCATCTAGAATAAACTGCATAGTGGCTTAATCATGCATGTTATCATCAATAATATTCCCTTTCTACTTTCATACATATGTATACGTATATATATGTTTTTTACCCCATGTTTGACCCTCTGCCCTTTCCCACAACACTTCCACTTTTAAGACGAATGCATTCTCCGCTTACTCTTTGCGGTGTCCTTCACCAGTATCCCCAGTAGTCAGATCCTTGTTGGGGCGCCACTCTGTCGGACCCGCCCATGGCGTACAGTTCCTGAGTTGGGGGGTGAGGATTAAAGAAAGACAAGAAGTCAGGATAGAAACGGGAAGGCTGCCAGTCAATACTGGTCAGCCACGAGTTAAGTTTATTGCTCTGTTTTATACAGAAACATTTGGCTTCCTTAACGTGGGACTCAAAAGTCCTTGCTGAGTTTATCAGGTTGTTGCAACAATAATTGGAACATTCTGCACATAACAATTCAGTCACCCAAGGTTAAGTCCAGACAATAACCCTGTTCTCCATGTAGTGGTCACGTCCTACACGTTCCTCATGTCTCCTAGGCTACCCACAGTCATGCCTAATCCCTTCTTCACTATTTCTCTGTCTTGTCAGGATTTGGGGCACACATGCACACACACCCAGCTTGCTTTTTAAACTGCTGGGGGCTGGGATTCAAACCACACAGTTGGTGGTGTAGGATCCTGTTCCCTTAGCCACTAGACCACAGCCGTGGCCTCTATTTACATTTTTCAGTTCCTTAGATTTCTTTCTTTCTTAAAACAATTTTTAAATAATTATTTTACTTAACTTTTATTTATTTATTTATTTATTTATTTATTTATTTATTTATTTATTTATTTATTATTTTAATTTGACCAGAGAGGAACAGAGCGAGAGAGAGAGAAAATGAGAAAGCAAGCCGCCAGGTCCAGGATTTGAACCGTGTCAACCCTTTGGGAGTCCAGCTCCCTTAGCCACCATGCCACCTGCTGGCCCCAGTTCCTTAGATTTTTAAACGTAAAGTATACTGGAGGTATCTCACAGGACCAGTACAAAAATGGGAGCTAAAGGGCATTGCATGACTCATGACGAGAGGGCATTGCATGACTAATGACATTTGGAACTAGGTATAAAGGCTTCTTGGGAAAGCTCTTGAGAGTAGCCTTTTTAAGAGCAGAGGTTAATACAGGTTTTGAGGGCTTGAAGCCTATATACATTTGCAGGTGTCTCTAATAACAAGGATATGAACTTAATGAATGTGAAATTAAGTGCAAGGCCTTGGAAGGAGCCTAAAGCTTAAATATGATTTTAAAATTAACCATCTAGGGACCAGCAGATGGCAAAATGGTTATATTGCTGGACTCCCGTGTACTCAACCGCCCTTGGAGTCCAGGACCCAGTGGCTTGAACCTCGTGCTGGGCATATGTGTCAGCTGGAAGTCCCGAAAGGAGAATGGAGGCGAAGAGACTGCAGCATGGCCGTCTCCCCCAGCAGATGATTTCCCTCTTTTTGTCTGTCTTTCCGGTGAGTGCACATACTCTATAGCAAAAATTTCTCTCAAAAAAATAAATAAAACTTTAAAAATTAACCATCTATTGTTGAAACCGATAGCTTATAAAAAATGTGGGGAAAGGTGACAAGTCCAGGGTGAGTAGAGGATGCTAGTTTTAAGGATTGTGTCGCAAAGTCACACAGCTAGTAAGAAGCCAGGACCCTTAGATGTGGGACTGATGTGGAGCATAAGCATATGCAAATAACACACAAGTTAAAGAGTTCGGTGCAATAAGAGCGCTTTAGCTCCTGAAAAGGGCCATTCTTTAAGAACTAAAGAGTTTCTGAGAGCCAGAACTAGGCTTTGTGCAAGTTCTCGAGCATCTTCTTGCTTGCCGATTGGCAGGGCTCTGGCCTTCTCAGTTCAGTAGCAAACTATTCCGTCCCAGTGGGCGCTGTGCCGACCGCCAGGGGATCGCTGTTTCTCCACATTACTATCCAGTGATTCCGACGTCAGTATCAGGGTGCAAAATGGTGGCCTCGTCGCCTGCTGTCCTGAGAGCGTTAGTGCTGTGTCGACCGGGCCTGAAGAACTGCGCGCGGTTGTGGGGGCTTACATGGCTAAGGGCATGTGGCGAGATCACTCGGACCCCTGCCTGCACGGCTGCGACCTTTTGCCTGGAGCCCGCGAACCGCAGCGCCTGGGACGAACCGGTGCGCATCGCGGTGCGCGGCCTTGCTCCCGGACAGCCGGTCACTCTGTGCACGTCCTTGCTCGACGAGAAAAAAAAACGAGCCCACGCTCGCTACCGCGCGGACGCCCACGGCGAGTTAGACCTAGAGCGCGCGCCCGCGCTGGGCGGCAGTTTCTCGGGGATTGAGCCCATGGGGCTGCTCTGGGCCCTGCAGCCCGAGAAGCCCCTGGAGCGGCTGGTGAAGCGGGACGTGCACACGCCGTTCGTGGTGGAGCTGGAGGTGCTGGACGGCCACGACCCCGAGGCCGGGCGGGTGCTGTGCCGGGCGAAGCACGAG